GCATTGTATAATGCTGATGATGCGATGTCATTTTCTAGGTAAGGATTTAATATTAATTTCAGATAACAAGAATCATACATGTTAAAACTGTAAATGTTTTCATAGACCATCTACCTCTAATAGGCACGTGCCTGGTGTTCGCATTAAAACAGGGTAATTATGTTCTGAACGCGACGAAGGTGAGCGAATTCGCCGTCTATAACTATTCGTACATTCCTCTGTATAATATTAACAAACTTTGCAGTACAAGTTACTTTTGAAAAGTATGTACCGGGATTGGACAATGGATCGATCGGACGACGAGATCGCTATTATGTCGAAGTATGCTAAAAGGGGCACGATTCTTGCAATGTTTTATATAGGTCAGTCCGCGTATTCGATTGCTTAAACTTTCCGATTTTATACCTTGGATTATACTTGAATCATAATTTTTGCAAAACTTAATTCACCCGTGATGTACAATTATTTGTACGTGGATCATAAGAATTATTTTACACAGTGAACGTAACTTTCTGCTCTATCCTGTTCCTGCAACTACCATGGACAACGCGCCTTTTGGCCTGGTTACAACACTCTAATACAACGCCGATGATATTCGTCATACCGGGCTACTATTTCGCTGACGAGCACGAAATTTTTTACCTCATCCAACTGCACGGCAGCTTGGGAATAATATTTGTGGCCATCGTGAACATGGCTTGCGATTCGAGTTTCACAATCGTCGTGCAACACGCGTGCGGATTACTGGCTGTGACTGGGTACAGGACATAACTAATATTTATCTTTTCATAGCTTCATTATGCTTGACACGGCCAGTAAAGAAGCGAATGTTTAATCGATGCAGTGAAACTGCAGAGACGAATTCAATAGATTAAATTTACTTGTCGAACCAGACATTGACTGTTTCAGAGAAACAAAAAATTAAACCCTAATAGAATCGTGTTAAAACAGATTTTTAAATATAATATTGCTAGTTCTGAACTAGAGTTTGCATATTTTCGGATGTTTTCAGATATCGATTCAAACACGCGATCGAATCCTATTCATACGATATTAAAAATTCTGAACAATGGGTGAAACACAATGAAAGAGTCCGCTTCTCTATAATAGCTCATCAACGGGCTATAGGGTCAGTATTGATTTGAACTTTTTAATCCTTTTCGTGTTGTTTTCTTTCGCTGGAAACTTTTCTTGATTCCTGAGGAACGTACTTAACAGGTATGTGCAGCAAATAGAAGATACACATGCTACATATCTTTTCCTGTGCATAGGCATAGTGATCTGTTCCTTTAGCATTACATTGGTCAAGGTAAGATCAGCCAGCAATTCCATACGCGATCTCTTTATATTTTACGTAAACTCTTCTGAAATCAGGTGGCCACAATGGACGTTTGCCTGGATTTTTACAAATATGTCAGCTTTTTATTGATTCAGCTAATACATTTGTTCTATCTAACGATTCAGGGTCAGTTCGTGGAAAATGTTTGCGACCAACTGTATAATAAAATGTAAGTACCATTTAACACTAGAAAGACTGAAACTTAGTATATACCTATATTGCCCAAAGCAGTAAAAATGACTGCATTGTG